AGACATGCAAACATGAAATGCACCATAAAGGGCTGTGGTCTGTGCAGGTTTTAGACCAGCCAACCTTGAAGGAAGCGGCACCTAATGGTGAGTGTCTCCAGCTTATAATAACATGTTCTTTTAAGAAACAGTGTGGAGGGTAAGGGGAGGGAGAGCATTAGAACAAATATCTAATGCATGTGGAGCTTAAAACCCAGGTGACAGGTTGATAGGTGAAGCAAACCACCATGGCACGTGTATACCTGTGTAATAAACCTGCACACTCTTCACATGTATCCTAGAACTTAAAGTAAAATTTAAAAACTTTAAAAATTAAATAAAATAAAAAGAAATGGTGTGGAGTCAAAGACAGGCTTAGAGAAACAGAAATGTTATAAGGCATATCCAGACATTAAGAAAGGTGTTATCTTGGAGACCTGGTGCAAATGTTGGGTCCCTGAGATAATACTGGACACCTGCCAACACGGAGCCCAAGCACAGCAGGGACCACACCATCATCGGCTGAGAGATCATATGAGAGAAACAAGGTTGGGGAGGATCTGGTAACCCCATGCATGGACAAACACAAAAGACTCCTGACGAGTTTTCCTGCCTACAGGCTCTGCCTATCCAGACCACTCTGGACGTGTTGACAGATTAATCTGTCTTTTACAAAATGCTAGCAAGACAATAACTACAAAAACACCCAACTACCTCCACTCATTTCCTGTTTCTTCACAACAGTCCTTTCCTCCCCATTTGTCCCCACCCCACCCTTTTAGCTAGTCTTTCATGGCTCACCACACTTCTGCCTTTGCTCCTTCCAAACCTTCTGCTTATAATACGCAATGCTTGCCCCATTTCCATCAACTACCTGAGGCCTCCCACCCATCCTTCAAGACAGGATCTTACCTCACATTTCCCAGAGTTCGCTCCACCACTCCAGCTGTGGGAGCTCCATGGAAGAACAAAAAGATCAAATATGCTTGGGAATCACTACATATTGAGTCTTGCTTTTGGAGAGTTATTACATAATTGTCATAAAACGCTCTGAGAAGTCACAAAGTGAAGAAACCTTTTGAATCTTTCCAGCCTGTGGTAGCTAAACATATTTGACCCCAGGACTGTGTTAATCATAACAAACTAGGGCTTTTTTTAAAGAAGCCACTCAGGAAAGCACTGACTGAAGCCCACCTCCTTCAGGAACACCGTAACCCATCACTCTAACCCTGCTGAACTTAAGACGTAGCTACTGTTTGCACTTCTACTCCAGTATGTGAAATGCCTGGTCACCTTCTTATATATGTATGTGAAAATTATATTAATAGTAATCAGAATAGATACCATTTAATAAGCACTGGTTACTTTCCAGGTATGAGACCTAGAAATTATTAAGCCAATGCTTATTCTTTACTACAAGGTCATAGTAATTTCTCTATGCTGAATTTTTCTTTGTGTTTAGTTAAGGGAGTAGGATAGTAAGAGTCATGTGTCCTTCCTATTCACCTTTTGTCTGGTTTGGTTTCATGTCAACATAAAAGCTAAGTCTTATATCATTGGTAAAAGAAAAAGGACAAAGTTATATGCAATGGTTACTTTTTAAGATAAAAGAAAAATGAGAATTAAGAAAAGGACTTCAAAGTTAATTTACCAAAATCCGACGACATCCTTGACATGTGCTGACCCCAATACGGCATTAATTACAAAAGGATTAACACTTTTCTCCATTGTAACAATGTAGTCCTCTGTCAATGGAAGGTGATAACAATATTTGTATTCATCGGTTAGCATGGAAGTCACAGATTATGAGAAAGGTCTTAACACTCTTCCTAAATGAAGTTAAGCATCCAATGAAGGGACAGCCTTCTTTCATAGTCTAAGAAGACTTGAAGATTTTTCAAACACTCAGCAACGTCTTGCTCCGTGCTCTGCCCAAAGCTAGTAGGGGTGCTAGGAATCTGCTGACTGGCAGTATTTATGCTGTTTGCATGTAACGGCTACACTGCATCAGCAACTCATTCCAATGATACTGTACAAGACACTATTTTCTACATTATACACTCAGCCTTCCCTTTTTCTGCTGCCCACTTAGATGACTGTCAAATTTCAGATTGGATGCAATGGCTCACTGAGAGAGATAGAAATAAACACTGTTTCTTCCCTGAATGATTCAACATGTTGCAAGCATGTTGGACTGGAGAATACCATTAGCATGGTAAATTTTAGTTATAGACATTTAGAGTTATTTTTTCTAAACTAAATTCCAACACCAACTCTACTACAGGCTATGCCTTGAAATAGGATTTTGTACTTTTTGTGGAATGACATGACTCTTTAAAAAATGTAGTAAATAGAAGGATACTTGGGCCAGGGAAAGAAAAAAAGATTCATGAATAGTATACACACCCTCAGGGGAATTTTTCTTACTCTTTCAAGTTTGTCCTCCCATCTAGGTCAAGTTAGTAACACTGCCAAAGTCTTTAGAGGCATAAGAAAGCCTTTCACATGCTTATAACCTTGAAAGTTGAATAGAAGAATATGTAAGAACTTCCCTTAAAGGTAAAATAGAGTTGATAAAAATGCCAAATCCTACCACATTTCTGCCCCTGTTTAAACTAGTTACTGTATCCTATACACATGTCCTGAGGTTTGAGCTCTTAGGCAACACGTGGGGACGTGGTGGCATCACACGATTGGCTTGGTGTGGTAGGCAGGGTACTCAGATGACTCCCATGATCTTTGTCTCTGTGTGTTTTGCCCATGATTATGTTGTATTGCATGGCCAAAGAGATTCTGTAAATGTAATTAAGGTCACTAATCAGCTGGCCTTGAATTAATCAAAAGAAAGATTATCTGAGAGAGCCTCAGCTAATCATATGAGACCTTTACAGGCAGAGAGTTTTTACCAGCTGGTGGTGGAAGAGGAAGGCAGAGATCCAAAGAGTTACATGGATTCAACATGAATGGAGTCCTCTGTTGCGGAGACAGGAGAACCATGCGGTAAGGACTTGAGTGTGTCCACTGAGAGCTGAGAGTGTCCCTTGGCTAACAGCAAACAAGAAAATAAAGACTTCACTCTTACAACCAAAGGATCTGAATTCTGACAACAATCTGGATGAGCTTAGCCGGGAAATGTTTCCAGGACCTCCAGCTTAATCCCAAACCCCTTAATTTTGGTCTTTTAAGACGCTAACCAGGGGACCCAGCTGTGTCTACCCGGACTTTTGGTCTACAGAACTATGAGATGATAAATGAATATTGTTTTCAGCTGTTAAATGTGTGGTACTTTGTTCCACAGCAATGGAAGAGTGAATGCACTTAGCATTAACTGAGAACCGCTCTCCAAACTTTTTCCACTATTCTCCTGCTCAAAGTCTCCTTTTCAACCAAATTGTATTTATTGGTTCTTAAATATACCTTTTGCTTCCTCCTATTCAGTATTTACACACATTATTTTACTATCCCACAAGGCCCATTTTCTGTTTAGCCAACACCTTTGAGGCCAACTCAGATGTCATGAATGAAAGGCTCCTACTGCAGCCTGCAGTTCTCTCTCCAAAATCGAGTACTTATAACCTGTATAGTTTACTGCCAATTCATCATGTCCCACTTTACGGTACCTTTTCTATGTGATCGATATCCTTATTTTATTACTATATAATTTTGATTAAATTGGATGGTGAAAATCTTGAAAGCAAGGGCTCTTAATTTTTATGCCTCACTGCCCCATATGTATACCTTGCACATCACAGGCACCCAATAAATATTTGTTCATTTGTTTTGTTCTAAAGTATCTCACTTCAATGTTAATGAGATTAAATGACACCAAAAGTCGAAAGAAAACCTCATTAGCCAAGCAGTAGGAATCTGAGCAGTGACCTACCCCACATTCTGCTTGGCCTTTAACTATCGTGACCCCTAAACACACTTAAACTGTCAAAATTAAAAATGTAACTGCAAAAACAAGATAATCACAGAAAATAATTTTTGCCAATTGATTTGTACAACTTTCAATGACATTGTAAGCACACAACTATTCCCTGAGCTGCCAATTTGCATAGAAAGGGATGTTCTCCATGGACTGTATTTACAGGGAATGCACTATTCACATGAATGTGCACGAGAGGAAAAGCACAGGAGAAAATACAAAGAGATTTGAATGAAATGCTGTTAACAATTAAGAATAATCAACAGAACAGGCTTGAAGAAGCAAAGGCCGGAAGTTACTTGCGGCATTGCAAACCAGGTAGATTTGGTATAATCCCTTGAAATACAAATGGGACTTAAACTCCCAGTTAAGACATTTACTGAACTAAATGGACCTATTTTAAAGTTTCAGGGAAAAGCAACGAGAATGTAACTTGGGGAAATAATGGAAAGTCAACTTCATTACAGCCCAGTGCTTCCCCTCTGATGTTACCATCCAACCCCATAGCACCCATGTTCTTACGCAACTGTCTGGAAATTAAACGTGAGCCTTAAAAATATCACTATCTATTTTTCTTTGTTTCTCAAAGGAAAATGTAAAATAAGTCAATTTTACATGCATTTTATGTGCTCTCTAATATATATAGAATCATAGAGCCTGAGTGCTGGCTGAGACTCTGGCAGGCTATTTTGTTTATTCTTCTACATTAGGCAGGCCCACACTTAATCCTTCCTTGATAGGAAAATCTCTATCATTTTTAAAGACTTTCAGAGAAGGAGATTTCTTAGACTCTCTCGAACCCACTAAGGTAGTTAATAACTTTTCTTATTATCTAGCCTAAATCCTTCACACTATGCTTAAGACTCATTTCGTCTTCTCTGACGTTCACTAGAGGTAGGAGAAAAATTTATCACACTCTTTCATATAAGCAATACTCGTATACTGATAATAATTATGGCATTGGCTCTGTAATCTCCTAATGAAATATGCCACAGCTATTGTGGCTCTCTGCTAAACTTTCTGCAATTTCCCCTGCCCTCCTTTATCTATAAACCTCAAAATGGTTGCCAACCTCTGTTAAGGATTTAATTACCTGATACTGAAGTCTTTGATAGTTCTTGTATGTTACACCTTGGGCATCCATCCAGGGTCGTATCTCAGGAATAGAGGAGGAAATAAATCATCCAAGGCTCTCCTCACTCCTGCAAATAATTTTATGAAGATAATTTAGTGGAAATGAGTATTGAGGGCAGCTATGAAATGTGAAAATAAGTCACAGAAAGGTTGCCTACATGGAAAAGAAACCTGAAAGTAAATATATCACAATATTCATAGCAGATGTTCCTGGATGATGGTAGAGCTATATGCATGTGTGGTTTTCCTTATTTTTACTTTTCTATATTTTCCAAACTTCTTGTTCTGTGTATGTATTAATTTTCAATGAGAAGAGAGCATGTGTGTGTGGCAGGGAGAGGGTGTGTTGAACAAAAGGGGTGAGGAGGAACTGCCCGAGAGAGTTCTAAGGAAGGGAGATGGCGGATGACCAACTGAAAACTGCCCCCAGTGTTAGTAGTGAAAGTCTTGCATCTCAGGAAAGCACTCAGATCCAAGCTCATCTGGATGGTAGATCACCCCAGAAGCAAACAGGCAAGGGACATCATAGATGCTGCGCATGGCAAACCAGGAATGGGAGTAGCGCCCAAGTCATTATTTTTCCAGCCAGCATGCAGTTTGGAAAGATAATGAAAGTCAGCATCATCACTCACCTTTTCCCCGTGTGAAGCGGACTTTCATTATTATTCTTCCACCTCCCTCCCACATAACTTTCTCAGGCAGCTCCTCTTTATCCCTTACAGTCCTCTCCTTCCCTGCCACACTCACATACTGTCTACTCATTAAAAATTAACACCTACACATAACGAGAGGTTTAGAAAATATAGAAAACCATAAAGAAGGAAAGACCACGCTATGCACACAGCTCCACCATCATTCATGGGCTGCTAAGGATCATTAAGTTTTGGTGACTCAAATGAATGAAAAGGCAGAAACAACTGTGTGTTCCAACCATGTTCTCTTCATAGACAGAGCCACTTTGCATGTTCCGGTCATTTTCTTGCATGACTTGATAATTCAGTAGTTTGATTTCATTTTTAAAAAAGTATTTTACTATATCAACCCCCAACAGAGTCTGTGTGTGATGTTCCAATCCCTGTGTCCATGTGTTCTCGTTGTTCAGCACCCACTTATGGGTGAGAACGTGTGGTGTTTGGTGTTCTGTTCTTGTGTCAGTTTGCTGAGAATGATGGTTTCCAGCTTCATCCATGTACCTGGGGTTGCAGGGGAGGGAGAGTAGGAGGCGGGGGGATAGGGGAAGGATAGCATTAGGAGAAATACCTAATGTAGATGACGGGGTGATGGATGCAGCAAACCACCATGGCACATGTATACCTATGTAACAAACCTGCACGTTCTGTACATGTACCCCAGAACTTAAAGCATAATAAAAAAGAAAAGAAAAAGAAAAAATAAATGCAGCTTGCATGTGAAAAATAATAATAAAATCAACCCAAACTCTTTAAAAAAAAGTATTTTACTATGTCAAAAGCACAAGTTAATAAAATTATTACTTTTTCCAAAAACAAACAAACAAACAAAAACAAGGTAATAAGAAGATCATTGTCGACTGGATCAGAACAGAAGATTCTAGGCTTGTTTGCCTTTTATTTATGTATTTTTTTCTATTCAGGTCATAAGAACTCAGAAACACCAGGACCACAGCTTGAGAGCCAACTCCAAGGCACCACTTTGGGTCGGCACGTTGACTCTAGTAACTTAAATCGGTTTCTATGCACAGAGCCAGCTCTGTGAAAAACTGCGCAGCAAGGACACAGTGCTGGCTTTCCACTAGCCTCCGCTCAGAACCAGCCTTCCCTCCTCCAGGAAGCTGGTGACTGTCCTGGGCCTTTGTTGTGGTGAGCAAACTGGTTTCCAAAAGTGTTTTGTGGTAATAGTGGGTCCTTAGGAGATGGTTTTATAACATTTGAGAGCAAGGATTCAAGTGAGGTTCACAAAGCTCAGACGAATCTGCTGGTGCATTCACTCCCTCACCTCTCAGCCTCCATTTACCTCCCTAGAACAGCGGTAATAACCATACCTACCTCAGGGGACACAGCTACCTCTAATATCCCCGAACAGGCAGAATACATGGAACAAATAATAAGCATGTATGTGTACATGTGTATAAAATATGTGTAAACACACACACACACGCACACACACCCCAGCAAGAAAAGAGCCTCAGTATCAGTCTTCTACAATATGTCATCATTTCTTAAATGCTTATCAAATGCTTACTGGAGGGCAGATCTGGGAAGGGTGTGAAAGTGTGCAGATTAACAGGTGAGGGGAAAAGAGCACTACCATCTAAAAAAGAGGAACCAACCACTGAGTATGAGATGCAGACATGAACACCCCTCATAGGGACATAAAGATAAGCCATCACTGGAAAGGACCCTTGGAAAAGGTCCGCCTTGGCCACAGCCTCAGGCTACCTGAAGACTGGGAGAATGGTGCTAGCTTTTCTGTGGATATGCCCTTCCTCTGAGGATAACTCAGCATCCAATGTGGGGGTCCTATGGAAGGTCAGCAGCAGTGATGCAGGCTTGGATGTTAGGACTGAGCCTTGAAATACCCTAGAGGATACCCTAACTCTGTCCTCATAAAAAGACAGGGAGGGGAAAGACTTTGATACTCAATAAGCTTGGGGACACAGAAGTAAGCATTCAAACAGGATTCTTTAGTGCAGGACTTTTTCAGAGGCTAATACTCACATTGATATTATGTCTCTTCTCCAAGAGAGTGATATGATATATACTCAGAGCTGCTCCAAAAAATAAATGAATAAAGAAAATAAGAGAAGTGTGGTGTATAGCCTCTTTCAAACTTTGCAGCCACAGCCCGCTCTGCACAGGACACCTGTTGACAGCTCAGAGATCACCAGCATTCTGACGGTGACCTAGAGAAACACCAGGCAGGCACTCTACAGAACTCCAACCTTGATTCCTTACAGTGACAAAACAAAGCAGCTAATTGACCTTGTCTGCAGCAGAACAGGTCAAATACCAAAGGGAGAAGAGTATTAAAGGAAATAAAGTCTTTCTGTGCCATCTTTCATTAGTTCTGAGACACATTTCTTTTTACATTCTTACATCTCTGAAGCACGAAATCAGGACGTTTCAGAGTCGGTGGCATCTGACAATCTCTGTCTGCCTTATGGCAATTGCAAGAGAGTTCTCACCATGTAAGCATGACTGAATATCAGCAATGTGGAAATAAAAATCCTGAAAAAAGGGAGGCACACTCTTGAGTTCTTGTAACAACTCAGAATCAGCTGGGCGTGGAAGACAGGTTGGGAGGGAATGCCAGGAAGTGATCAGCCGCATTCCTGAACCACGGTAGACTAGCTCTCCACTGAATTGCAAAGCCAAGTAAAGAGCTCTGTGCCAATGGCCTTTTGCTACCTTACAGATTCTAAGAAATGATGCATCACCAGTGTCTTCAATGGAACAGGTATCTACAAAATCATGGACATCAATGATGATCAATGAAGAGCGAGGCAGAAGAACTGAACCCTTGATGTAAAGAAGCTTAGGAATACCTTAACCAACCTTAGGAATACCTTATCCAACCAACCTTGAAATTTTCCTGGTCCTCAGGCAGCATGAGGCTGTCACAGAGGCAAACATTTCCAATAAGCTTGGTCCTGTTTATTTTCCCTGTTCTTGTAGGCATAACAGTGACCAATGATAAAAACTTGTGTCTAGTTCAAAGAGTTCTTTCAATAAGTACAAAATAAAATCAAAGTGATGAGAGCTTTGGATCACAGCTTAACAGGCAGTGATTTTTCCACAGGGGTATATAAAATGGGAGGCATTTAAAATCATTTGTGACTTGGAATTAATAAAACGGGTAACTGGCTTTTAAAAACAGTATTTTAACCAATTCTCTTTTTTGCTCTAAAACATTTTGCATTTTATTCTTGAATAACTAAAATTCCCAAGGAAATTCCATTCATTTCCTTTAGAGTAAAATTTTGAGAGCTGCCCTTGGTCACCTCATTCTTTAAGGTCTCGGAGTTGTCAACTCTGCTCCTGCTGAAAGTGGCAAGCCAGCCACCTCCGAAAGCAAATCTCCGTAATAGGCTTTCCTCAAGAACAAGGCTTTGCATTAGACCAAGTCTCCGGAGAAAACCTGGCCTCTTCTAAGTTTGTATTTTCCTCTGCAATTCTCTTTTTATAGTTGAAGCTAGTGGTAAGGTCATCCAGCCTCAGCTGGTCTCAATTACACCCCTCTGTCTGAAGCAGGGGCTGGGGGACACCCAGCCCTGTCTCTGGCTCCTTCATTTCCCCTGTATAAAAATGACAGAATTCAATAAGATATTCTCCACATCCCTACAGCATTAATATTCTATGCTTTATGTTGACTTCTCAAAAAGACCAAAAGTATTGGTATTTCCTTTGTATTATATACAAAACAGGTATATTACACAAAATTAACCATTTTTGCCTTACTAAGCAGATAAAGATCTTTACAATTTTCACAGCATACTGCTGAACACTGAAACATATCACAAATTAACATTTTTCAAAAAGTCACACAATGTGTACTGGCAATACTCTGAATCGTTTGCCTTCTGGTTTTTTTGTTTTTCATTTTTTGCTGTTTTTTTTGAGACCGAGTCTTGCTCTGTCACCAGGCTGGAGTGTAGTGACCCGATCTCAGCTCACTGCAACCTCCGCCTCCTAGGTTCAAGCGATTCTCCTGCCTCAGCCTCCCGAGTAGCTGGGATTATAAGCATGTATCACCATGCCCAGCCAATTGTTGCATTTTTAGTAGAGAAGGGGTTTCACCATGTTGCTCAGGCTGGTCTTGAACTCCTGACCTTAGGTGATTCACCCACCTCGGCCTCGTAAAGTGCTAGGATTACAAGCATGAGCCACTGTGCCTTGGCTCTGTTTTTTAAATTGTATATTTTCTCATGCTGAAAGTGATCAGATGTGCTAGGTCTTAACAAGATTCCTAAATTGAGATGGGCAGTGATGATGAAGTTAACTATTAATGCTATCTACAGCTACTAAACTGCAAGACTGTGAGATCAAGCTCATATACTCTTTATTTGCTGTGATATCCCCAGCACAGACCA